GATGAAATATGGTTAACGCCAGGTTAAGGACAGCCGCTTCGATCTGAACCAAGACAGAATAAAATGCCGTAGAATGATCTGCTATTTTGTTAAATCGATGTGGGTAAAAGTGCGAGGAAAGATAATTGACTTTACTTACTTTTTCCTCGATTCTTCGGAAGATCTAAACCTGCTAGCTATCTCCGCGCTTCCGTGAGCAAATACTTAAGTCACGCCGTTGTTACCGCCAAAAATATATGCGTACAGTTACCATTTCCGTTCACTCTCAGACGATGTTTTTCGTCTCGAGTTTTTTCGTCTCGCGCCTCGCGCTCGTGATCGCGCTCCGCGCTCGTATCGGGGTCAAAACAAACGAAAAAGGCTGTATTTGATCTGCATTAGACAAAATGAAAATATCGGCAGAAGGTTTCGGTAACTACACTCCTTTAACGAAGGCAAAAGGATCTTGGAAATAGCCTTACACTTTATTTACTAAAATATCATTTATTTTTATTATTTATTCTATTATTTCTATGTGTGGTAAGTCACAAAACGCGACTGCGCTTTTCTAAGCAGTGAAAACAGTTGCATTCCTCAAATTTGATCAATAAAAGCTCCTAGTTCGATGATAAGGAGTCCAAAGTTTCAAAGATTATCGAGGTCGGATTCCGCTATATTTGAAGTCATGCATGTTCGTCCCCTTTCTGAAACTGGACGGCTATCGTGAACGCACTAGAGTAGAATTTAATGCCTGTTTCAACCAGCTTCGTGTCCGCCTTTTCCTTTTCAATATGTCTCAGATCATTCTATGCCTTTGTTTCTGGTGTTTCGCCTTGAAAACATAAAACAGTTTTGAAATCGGAGTAACAGGAACTCTATTCAACGCCCAAAATACGGTCACACATGCTCCATTCTAACGAGCACATTTCACGGAATGTCCTTCATGTTTACAGAGTTTTCTTCCTATTATAACACAGTTGAACTTCGCTATCTTAGACTCGGTTATTTCGAAATTCCCTCTGGAACTCAAGAGATAATGTAGATTTAATTGAATTAACTCACTTTCTTTCGCAGACCCTGAGTAACGGAAGTAACTGTTGGGGTGCGTGCGCAAAAACGAAAGTTTCCTGAATACTTCATAATCTATTTTTGAAAGCTTGCATTGCTCATTCGCTTGGGTTTTCTTTCGGAGAATTCATGACATCGCTAACCGTGATTCTTGGTGTAAGACACGACCCGTCAAGATCCACGTTTTATCGAACTTCGATCTTCAATTCCGGGACTCCGTACATGGAACTACTTTTGGTCATGGAAATTTTCTTCGCGCGCGTACAGAAACGGAAGTTGCTCTTGAAACAGTCCCTTCGTGACCTGGGCTGGAAACAGCAATGTGCTCATTACTATTCGTCGTGTATCGCGCACGAGAAAAAAAGTCGAAACACCGAGGGGTTTTTACGCAGTCTAGCAAGGATGCAAATTGCATAACGTTTGTTGACGACCTAATTTCACTTTACCACTTTCTTTGGCCTCTACCGTTAATATGCAAGCCCTGTACTTCAGAGGTCTTCAGAGATACTTTTGTTGCGGAAGTAAACCAACACATCGTGATCGCAAGTTGCAGCCATGCAAATAAAATGTTTCACATCGCCCGACCGATCCAATTTGTCCAAAACAGTTTTAAAATGATTCATCGCCTCTTCCCTTTTTTCGTGAGGTGATTCAGACTGTTCTAAGTCATCTTTGTTGATTCTTCAGACACCATTTAAAATGACAATTAATTTGGAAGGTCGTTGGAAAATTTCTGCACTGAAAAAGCTGACTCAAGCTCCCTCAGTTCGATTTATTTACTAGATTTGAATTCTTTTTTCTCTCTATCTCTCTTTCTTTTTTTATGCCTGATCGTTGCAAGGTGAAAAGGCGATAAGAAACGAAACGTTTTTTATCATAATGGCTAGAAAACACAGCGTGGTTTATAGCACACGGCGACAATATGATGAAATATGGTTAACGCCAGGTTAAGGACAGCCGCTTCGATCTGAACCAAGACAGAATAAAATGCCGTAGAATGATCTCCTATTTTGTTAAATCGATGTGGGCAAAAGTGCGAGGAAAGATAATTGACTTTACTTACTTTTTCCTCGATTCTTCGGAAGATCTAACCCTATATGCGTACAGTTACGGCTCATCAACCACATGACGACCAAATAAGGGGGATTAATACCCCCCGTTAGTAAGCGAGGGCCATTTCCGTTCACTCTCAGACGATGTTTTTCGTCTCGAGTTTTTTCGTCTCGCGCCTCGCGCTCGTGATCGCGCTCCGCGCTCGTATCGGGGTCAAAACAAACGAAAAAGGCTGTATTTGATCTGCATTAGACAAAATGAAAATATCGGCAGAAGGTTTCGGTAACTACACTCCTTTAACGAAGGCAAAAGGATCTTGGAAATAGCCTTACACTTTATTTACTAAAATATCATTTATTTTTATTATTTATTCTATTATTTCTATGTGTGGTAAGTCACAAAACGCGACTGCGCTTTTCTAAGCAGTGAAAACAGTTGCATTCCTCAAATTTGATCAATAAAAGCTCCTAGTTCGATGATAAGGAGTCCAAAGTTTCAAAGATTATCGAGGTCGGATTCCGCTATATTTGAAGTCATGCATGTTCGTCCCCTTTCTGAAACTGGACGGCTATCGTGAACGCACTAGAGTAGAATTTAATGCCTGTTTCAACCAGCTTCGTGTCCGCCTTTTCCTTTTCAATATGTCTCAGATCATTCTATGCCTTTGTTTCTGGTGTTTCGCCTTGAAAACATAAAACAGTTTTGAAATCGGAGTAACAGGAACTCTATTCAACGCCCAAAATACGGTCACACATGCTCCATTCTAACGAGCACATTTCACGGAATGTCCTTCATGTTTACAGAGTTTTCTTCCTATTATAACACAGTTGAACTTCGCTATCTTAGACTCGGTTATTTCGAAATTCCCTCTGGAACTCAAGAGATAATGTAGATTTAATTGAATTAACTCACTTTCTTTCGCAGACCCTGAGTAACGGAAGTAACTGTTGGGGTGCGTGCGCAAAAACGAAAGTTTCCTGAATACTTCATAATCTATTTTTGAAAGCTTGCATTGCTCATTCGCTTGGGTTTTCTTTCGGAGAATTCATGACATCGCTAACCGTGATTCTTGGTGTAAGACACGACCCGTCAAGATCCACGTTTTATCGAACTTCGATCTTCAATTCCGGGACTCCGTACATGGAACTACTTTTGGTCATGGAAATTTTCTTCGCGCGCGTACAGAAACGGAAGTTGCTCTTGAAACAGTCCCTTCGTGACCTGGGCTGGAAACAGCAATGTGCTCATTACTATTCGTCGTGTATCGCGCACGAGAAAAAAAGTCGAAACACCGAGGGGTTTTTACGCAGTCTAGCAAGGATGCAAATTGCATAACGTTTGTTGACGACCTAATTTCACTTTACCACTTTCTTTGGCCTCTACCGTTAATATGCAAGCCCTGTACTTCAGAGGTCTTCAGAGATACTTTTGTTGCGGAAGTAAACCAACACATCGTGATCGCAAGTTGCAGCCATGCAAATAAAATGTTTCACATCGCCCGACCGATCCAATTTGTCCAAAACAGTTTTAAAATGATTCATCGCCTCTTCCCTTTTTTCGTGAGGTGATTCAGACTGTTCTAAGTCATCTTTGTTGATTCTTCAGACACCATTTAAAATGACAATTAATTTGGAAGGTCGTTGGAAAATTTCTGCACTGAAAAAGCTGACTCAAGCTCCCTCAGTTCGATTTATTTACTAGATTTGAATTCTTTTTTCTCTCTATCTCTCTTTCTTTTTTTATGCCTGATCGTTGCAAGGTGAAAAGGCGATAAGAAACGAAACGTTTTTTATCATAATGGCTAGAAAACACAGCGTGGTTTATAGCACACGGCGACAATATGATGAAATATGGTTAACGCCAGGTTAAGGACAGCCGCTTCGATCTGAACCAAGACAGAATAAAATGCCGTAGAATGATCTCCTATTTTGTTAAATCGATGTGGGCAAAAGTGCGAGGAAAGATAATTGACTTTACTTACTTTTTCCTCGATTCTTCGGAAGATCTAACCCTATATGCGTACAGTTACGGCTCATCAACCACATGACGACCAAATAAGGGGGATTAATACCCCCCGTTAGTAAGCGAGGGCCATTTCCGTTCACTCTCAGACGATGTTTTTCGTCTCGAGTTTTTTCGTCTCGCGCCTCGCGCTCGTGATCGCGCTCCGCGCTCGTATCGGGGTCAAAACAAACGAAAAAGGCTGTATTTGATCTGCATTAGACAAAATGAAAATATCGGCAGAAGGTTTCGGTAACTACACTCCTTTAACGAAGGCAAAAGGATCTTGGAAATAGCCTTACACTTTATTTACTAAAATATCATTTATTTTTATTATTTATTCTATTATTTCTATGTGTGGTAAGTCACAAAACGCGACTGCGCTTTTCTAAGCAGTGAAAACAGTTGCATTCCTCAAATTTGATCAATAAAAGCTCCTAGTTCGATGATAAGGAGTCCAAAGTTTCAAAGATTATCGAGGTCGGATTCCGCTATATTTGAAGTCATGCATGTTCGTCCCCTTTCTGAAACTGGACGGCTATCGTGAACGCACTAGAGTAGAATTTAATGCCTGTTTCAACCAGCTTCGTGTCCGCCTTTTCCTTTTCAATATGTCTCAGATCATTCTATGCCTTTGTTTCTGGTGTTTCGCCTTGAAAACATAAAACAGTTTTGAAATCGGAGTAACAGGAACTCTATTCAACGCCCAAAATACGGTCACACATGCTCCATTCTAACGAGCACATTTCACGGAATGTCCTTCATGTTTACAGAGTTTTCTTCCTATTATAACACAGTTGAACTTCGCTATCTTAGACTCGGTTATTTCGAAATTCCCTCTGGAACTCAAGAGATAATGTAGATTTAATTGAATTAACTCACTTTCTTTCGCAGACCCTGAGTAACGGAAGTAACTGTTGGGGTGCGTGCGCAAAAACGAAAGTTTCCTGAATACTTCATAATCTATTTTTGAAAGCTTGCATTGCTCATTCGCTTGGGTTTTCTTTCGGAGAATTCATGACATCGCTAACCGTGATTCTTGGTGTAAGACACGACCCGTCAAGATCCACGTTTTATCGAACTTCGATCTTCAATTCCGGGACTCCGTACATGGAACTACTTTTGGTCATGGAAATTTTCTTCGCGCGCGTACAGAAACGGAAGTTGCTCTTGAAACAGTCCCTTCGTGACCTGGGCTGGAAACAGCAATGTGCTCATTACTATTCGTCGTGTATCGCGCACGAGAAAAAAAGTCGAAACACCGAGGGGTTTTTACGCANAGCATTGTCAAAGTAGCTGTGAATCAACGAGGCGATAGCCGAGTGGATCCTCAGACTACTTTGACAATGTTAGGACGAAATTCATTGTCAATAACAGGACAGACGCATGAAAAACTGACATCAATTTGTTTTTTACCATAAGAATTTGTCAAATTGTTCGCTCTCGCTCGTTGCCGCATTGCATAAAATCAATTATAAATTTGTGTGTCTGTCCACTTATTGACAATGAAAATTAGCCAATGAGGGTGCGAGAATTTCTGCAGTCATTGTAAAATTTACTATTGAGAATGAATCTTCCAAGAGTTGATGGTGTGTTCCCCACTCACCCACCCCCACCTCCCAAAAAAGACTTTCAAAGCCCCCTTACTGAGAGACACTATGAAATGGTGACCCAAGTGTAAAGCTTACTACATGAGAGGAACTGTTGAAAAACACTGGCCAAAAACACAACAGCTATACATGCAATGTTTCACTTGTACAAACTGTGAAAGAAAATTCCTTAAACAACACGGTCAAAAAATTGAAAAAACTTGCTAAAATATTATTCCCTTCTTCAAGAGAAAAATAACTGAACTAAAAAGTGATGTTTTCCTGACTTAAATACTTATACAGCTACAGGTAGCAAATTAGGAGTACAGTACACGAGCAAGGAATTCTT